TATATATATATATATATATAGTTATATATATATATATATATATATATATATATATATATATTTGTTTTCTTCGTAGCTCAATCACTGTTGGGCTCGTCCATAAACATTCCGTTTGATTGAATGTGCTCGACTGCAATATTTATTTTATATTTATTTATTTATTATATGTATATTAATTTATTTGTTTCCAGTCGGCATAGATAACTGCGATTATAAATAAACCATTTTTTCTTGCTGACACTTGAGACACACTTTTCAGCATAAATTCGTATTTGTATATTGGATTGCTTTTTGAGAGCAAACACTTACACAGTATGGATGGATAAAGACGAATACATTAACAAAACTTAAAAGCAAGTAACACTATAAAAACACTGTTTATTTACTTGAACTAAAAGCAGCATAAAAGGCGAACGGCTGTTCACTAGAAATTCAATTTAAAGTTCATAGAGCGCAATTTTTCCGGCTTTTCCGCGCTAATACACTTAGACACAACAATAAGAAACTGATGGAAGAACAATGAAAGTGAGCTCAGCCTGCCAGAAATCGACAGTTCTCGACGTTGCCATTGACAATAATGTGGTATTAAGTATTATTTGTTTTTCGTCTGATAGCGCTCACCAAATACCACGGCTGTGGCTGATTGCCATTGCCTATGTGTTTATATGTGTGTATATGTATATAAATGAATATGAATATGTATTTATGTGTGTGTGATAAGCAAATTAAAGCCACAAGCGAGATAGACAATGTGACGTTGGTGACTTTATGCATACACATGTGTATCTACACACACATGCATGTGGATAGAGAGCGCCTTATGTAAGCATTAGGATTGGCCAAAGCTAATTTTACATTATATTTTCAACTTGGCTTACATGGCCTGAGCTCTGCCCTACGGCAATACCTCTACCACTTAATTCGTCTCTAAGGCCTGCCACTTAGTATAGACGTCAAAAAGTCCACGCATGTGTCAGCCGTATTCAGTGTCATGGAATTCCTTATCGCATTCACGATAACAAATCAAACGATTTGCTAATGCAATTATTTATAAGCCCCCATATTTATACACACGCTAACTACTTATTTCCTCTGTAACCCCTAATATGCTGCGTTATAGTTATTTTTTTACATCTTCTTTATGACTTGGATAACTTGCGCAGAGCAGCGAATGGTATTCGCTAATTGGTTGAGTCGTTACGGACTATGGACTACCCAAACATTGAAGTCAATTGTTATAAATCAAATTTAGATAGAACTCCTCTCTTCATTATTGACACTTTCATAATATAAATGTAAATATTCAAGCTTTGATTGAATCTAAACTCAAAATTGCTAGTGATATCCAGTGATGAATAGCCGATTGGGAATTACCGTGAGTATTCCAAAAAGTTAACTTTTTCTGTTGGTAATTTTTATAAATATTATTTTTAGAAATCCTAAATTTACTTTCAACTTTTCTCCTCATATATCATCATTGAAATTTGCATAATCCTATTGTAATCATTCAAACTTTGATTCAATCTAAACCAAAAACTTCAATACACATTCAATTAGGGATACCCGACTAGGCACTACTGTGACTGCTGCTTTTTGTGCAGGTAAACAACATGAAATATTTAAAATTGAAAATTGTTAGATTTCACGATATCGCTGCCATGTTTACATCGCCTTCGGTGGTACTCATAAAGTATACAATATATATACCTCATTTGATAAGGCGATAAGGCGTCAGACTGTCTGTCCCCACCACGATTTACCTTTGGATGCAGGGTATTGTGAATTATTGCAATGTAACAGGCTTCCCACAATAATGGTCAAACAAATTGGAAGTAAATTTATAAATTAACACCAATACATTCGCTCTGCTGCCTCGATGCTTCGCGGTTAGGGCTCCACACATACACGCATGCCATATGTGGCTATGACCATGTACAATGTAGGAAAATTTTGCCTTCCGCTGCGCTTTATACGCACGGACACACACACATGAACACAGCATTATCTGCCATTTGGTTTTCATGGCAAAGCTGGCGACGACCTTCCCCTTATTGCTTTTCCCCAAAAAAAAAATAAAAAAATCAACAACAAAAATAATATAATTATTTATTACACAACGAAGCTTCTAATGGATATTTATATACTATCACATAATTCCAGGGCGAATGAACGTACGAGAGCCATGCATATTTCTTCATTATTTTATTTATTTTTTAATGTACATATATGTGAATCAAAATTGTGCTTCAGCCTATGTAAATATCTATACACATCGCTATAAGAATATAACAACAAAATGGCAAGAAAGCCACTTTATTTGGGTTGAATCTGAGCATGAAAATGCCATTAAATTTACCAGCTGTCAATAATAGTTTGAACAACAGCTGTTGGAACATTTGCTTTATTTTTACAGTATGAGTACTACTTGGCGTATGAGAGCGCTTTAATACTATTAAATGCATTTCCGGCCTTGTGCTCGCTCTACTTTTAGAAAGGCTGCTCTATAATTTGATTGTCATTACTATCGATTCGAAACTTCCTTTTCTGAAATACACCCAGAGCTACGCTGCCTACGTTTTAAGGGATGGTGCGAGGCCATAAATTAAGCATACGCCTGACTTTAATGCAATTAATTTCATTTATGAATTTCATTAAAAAATCATTACCTTAAGAACATTTTGCGTTCGCATATTTATCTTTCATTTCTGAAAAATTGTTCCACAAATATTGCTGTTTTGTTTTCAATTTGCTAATAGTTATTCCTATTGTTTTTTATTATCATTATGAGCACTACACAAACGACATGCACTTTAAGACAATATCTTTAACTAAATGATCTCTTGATAGAGTTTTAGTTATTTCATTCAGATAAACTGCATATAGGATAACTTATAGATTGTTTATTTAATTAAACTAATGAAAGCTTTAATTGTTATCAATTGATTTTAGTGTTTTGTACATTGTTCAATGATTATATAGTCATATTAAAGTTTACATTAATACCATTCTGTACTGAATCTGAAAAGCTTGACACAATATTGTAACGAACGCACCACAGAGTTTTTTAATAAACACATTACTCAGTTTATCTATGATCAACTCGATGTCTCTATCACCGCTTTTGTCTTATTCTCTGGTGATTCTTTGGTAGTGCAGCATTATTTAGCCGATTTCAGAGACGCGACTGCATCGCTTCAGAGCGCTTCCAAAACTGCCGTCCACTTTGACAACCGTAACATACTATTACTACAGAGAGAACGCACACACATACGTGCGTATATGTATGCTTGTATGCCTGTGTCTGCATGTGCGTGAGTGTATTTGTGTGTGTGTGGGCCTTTGAACACGAAAGATACATGCCACGAGTGTTCTGCACGTCTCCCTCGCAGTGCGTATGTGGGGAAAATTTATACTTTCTGTGCAAACGGCATACCTCAACAGTTTCCAATATGTGGGACTCGTTTCTAAATGAATATGTGTGAGTGCCTGTGTGTGTGTGTGTGTGTATGTGTATGACTGTATGTGTGCTGTGTATTTGAGATTAGGCAGTACAGTGTAGCCTGCTGTTAATCCTTTTATCGCGATTGTGGTTTCTGTTTGCTTTTCAAAGTTTTCTTCATAAAGGTAAATATGTTCAACGTATATTCAAATTAACACCTGAATGTGTGCTTTTTTTTACCAATGTGTAAATGTACATTACTTTTGATATGCTTAAAATTACTGGAATTGATATGCGTATATGTTTCATCCTTGTCGGAGCATTGAATTCCTCTAAATATGAATATATATTCATATTTTCTATAAAGTGCTTCATTAGAATCAAAGTACATTATTTTACTCCGGCTTACCAGTTCATTTGCGCAAATGTGGAACGTAGGTCAAAAGAACCACTGGAAGGCATGCACACTTGAGGCGCATGCGTATTTTTTTTTTTTTCGAATTTGGAATTTATTTTGCTACTTGTATTTGTAATGTTACTGATGAATCAAACAGATAGCGGGCAGCGCCAATGCATGCTCTCTATTAGATTAAATTGTCAAACACTCTTCTATTATCTCGAATGTATATCAATTTATGCCCAATTAGCCCTATGCTGGAGAGTTGATATGATCTCTAGCAAAACGACAAGTTATCTCGAAAAATACTCATTCTGCTTTTTATATAACGGTATTAGTACAGGTTTATTACCCTCTTGCTTATGGGATTCAAAAGTTAAGCCGACTCGACAGTTCTAAATATCTCTTAGATAAACCTTTAATTATTACCATGAAACAAATAAAGAAGCATAAGCATTGCAGTCAGGCATAAACGACTGATTATTACTCGTTCATACAATTCACAGAAGAGAATATTTTGTTGAGAAATATTTATTCGAGAGGTTTATAGATTTATCAGTAATACAAGAATAAGCAGATCAAGTTGTCAATCGGAGATCTGTCCTAATATAGTAATATAGTTGCCAAGTTATGAGGCGCCAGCTGCGAAACTGAGGATGTCTTACTCTTTCAACAATGAGCCCTCAGACATTGTAGAAGGCCAATACAATCTTTTCAGATCATAAATAAATATTAAATAAGAAAACAAATTAAATTCACTAGAAACAACTCTTAAGGCACATTAGCAGGGCAAAGACACCTACAGCATACTACAATTAAATGATAAGCTCAAAGCATATAAAATTTCCCCATTATATGTGCTATTAATACTCCGCTGGTACGCTCCATTACCCTAGACACATTTCGCTTGAAAGCGAGTACGTTATAATTTGTTTTACGGCAAAACGTCACAGGACAGCAGAGCCTGTCTGTCTGCATAATATGAGTCACAATATGACAGCATAACTATTTTTACGCTCCACTATTGATTTGCTTATAAAGGGCAGTTAAAAACAATTGTGATTATTTTTAGGTGCTCTGCAAGTGGGCATTATCGGTATCTTGATAAATACGCGCTTCTTAAAAGGGTAGTATTTGTAAAGGAGCAAAGGTAAATAAACCAATAACATAACAAACTGTATTGTTGAGGGCAAGAGATTCTTCCATATGACCGTTGAGATTGAAGTTCGTGATTACAGAATCTAAGAAGGAATAGAACTGTGTACTAAAAAAAAAATATATGATGTTTTGAGCTCAGTTTGAAAATTTGGTTTATTAAACAGGTAACATACACATATACATATAACCACATTTTTACATATTACATTTTACATATTTATTGTTAAATCTTACTTCGCAATTTGTAAAGGGGAAGTTATTGTTTCACAATCTATTATTACAGTTCTGTTTCAGATTTATTCTGGTATAATTATATCAATTTCTATTCTAACACCTGCTGGTATTCATAGAGGTAGGATAACAATTGTCAGATGCCATTGAAATAAAATACAAATCAAATACCTATTGCAACTAGCCGGTTACAATTATTTTACAAAAATCTGCTAAAAAGCTGCAAATTTCAAATGTAATTTAATTATATACCTTTCGAAAGAAAAACAGTTCATATCGATATTAAGTACATTAGGAGTGTACATTACATTAAACTCCAGTTAACTACGAATCTTGCAATAAAAATATAGTCTGATTATATCCACTCTATTGCAAAGGTGAGAGGTCACTTGTTAGGCAATGAGTGTGCGAACTAAGTAAAACCCCACACACCTTTATTAACCGTAGAAACAGATATAGAAAAAGAGAGAGTAGCTTTGGTTTCTTTTTGATAGTGGGACTTTAGTTATAGCTAAAACTGCAAACATCGCTAACATTAGTCAAGCTTAGTAAGATGCTGTTTCAAAAAATATACACATATGTAAATACATTCCCAAACACTTGAATATCACTTGGTATGTATGGGTTGTTAGTTTTAGAAGTTCAATTCTCTTGCATGAAAGTCGCATTACATTGCATTTTTAAAACGCCATTTAGTTATTTGTTTCAATACATCAATTTTTGTTTTTGTTTTTGTTTAGTTTCTTTTTTCTTAACAGGTTAACATTATGATTTTTAGTTTTTGCTTTTACAAATATTTTTATTCAAATATTTCTGCCCATATTGTATTATAATAATGAATGTATTGGAATTCAGTAATTACTTTTAGAATAAATTCGATAAAGTTTTGTTTTCTTTTAATTTAATATGTTCCAGGGCGACATTTGAATATTAGTATTTAATTTAAATTTAAATAAACATTCAATATGTACATATTAATATAGGTATTTTGATTAAGATACTTTTATACATATGTATATATATATAAATATTTTCAGATATATTATAGTAAGTACATATACATGTATGTAATAAATACTATTAATAATATTTAGTCAGCGTATTTGCTAAATTTTATAAAAATAATGTTATACAAATGAGTTTGTAGTTATACGTGTGTGTGTGTGTGGGCTTGGAATAAAACGCCGTTGGGCCTAGCTAAAGGATATTGTTTTAACATTTTAAATAATTTTTTTCCGAATGCTCGGCGCAATACATGTATATATTTGGCACTCGTAATTATTTTTTCATCTCATTATAGTCTTGAATCCATACAAAAATTGCAAATATACATATATATAATGATATATACATATATATTGAAACAATGCAATTTTTGTTTAAGTTTTGTACAAACATACGTCTGTCCTTTACGTTTCTTCTTTGGCAACTTAGTTCAATAAAAATCGCTGAGGTCTACTTGGCATTGTCAAGTTTCAAGTTGCTTACAGATTTGGAACTGCCCGAGGCGATTTCAGTTGTTGTTTTTCCATCTCGAAAGCAATAAGCGCCAGCGATTTTTACGTCTTCTGCTTCAAATTTGCCATATTAATAAATGATTGGTGCTGTCCTCGCGACCAGCGATTTCGCTCAGCGAATTGGCACCAGAGTTGCGAAAGTCCTCGTAGCCATCGCCGCCAGATATAATAAGAATATTCTTGGTTTCCGACTTCGCCTTCGAGTTCTTTGTTGAACTGCAAGCCAGACATACATTGTAGTGAATTCTCCATAAATTAATAATACATTATTGTATAATTACTCACCCTTGTTTAGTATAGTCGTCACTGGTGCCGCTTCCAGTTTCTCGAGAGCTGGCAGCCGATACAATTTGAGAGCACCCCTCCAGGCCATGGGTTGGCGATTCCACAAAGGTCAGGAATCGCACATGTCCCGTATGGCCGTGAGGTATGCCTGTTGGTACTATATTGTGCGCGCCCTTCTCATAGCCCTGGGCTGGTATTGTTAGCAGAACACCTGCGCTCGTGCCAATCCAAATAAGATCCTTACAGCACAGAAGTGACGTCACGCGAAGGCAAGCGGCCTTATGTTGCCTAATTATTTCGTCGCAATTGGACAACATCTTATTGACTGCCGGAGCAAGGTTGACTTCCGTAATTAGTTGGTGGCTAATGAGTGAAGTTGAAAGTAAAATAAGTTATTTATAGCCAAGAGCAGAATATTGTGGCAGCACTTACGTATTGGAATGAAAGCACTTAATGTGAGCTGAGTTTTGTATTGATATCCACACAAAATTATTTGCCACAGTCATGTTCGTAATTGGTTTTGAGTCCGAGGATATTTGTATTTGATTGACAACCTGGAATATTAAAATAAGTTAAACTTACATTAGTTGTAACTGCAATGGGCTCAAGGCTTGGCTCTTCATACCGAAAAGGACTCGGTATCTAACACTTTGATAATCCCCTGTATTGAGCACCACAGCTTTCCATTTACGTTCAGCAACTTTGTCACCGGACTCGACACTGTGCCTATTGAGAGACGATGCGATGAGCACGTATTCCAGGAAGTGGCTGCAATAATGGAATTCACGCGTTATCAAAATAAATGGCATATTCCGAATGCAGTACTTACCGCCATCTCTCAGATAAACACAGATGTCGCCATTGGCCAAGGATACAAAAACACGATTGTCCAGGTATCTGCAATGCATTAGTGAGCGATTAAATCGAGCTTAGTCTGGATTCTATGAGCGAGCGCTTACAGTATGGAAAATACAGCTGAATGATGTTCAATTTTAATGCGATTCTTCTTGATGCGTATGTTATCAGTACTGTTGTAGACATGAATGCAGCCGTCTTCAGTGCCGATCCACATTGTTGATTGATTGCTTTCGCTTTCATCGGGATTGGAGTCCTTTGGGTAAATCACTTCAAATTAAACACGGGCAGTATTTAAAATTTTAATTTACGCTTACTTGATGCCCGTGATATGTGGCATGGAGTGAGGGTGCAGGGCTGGGCATACGTTGCTCTAGTGCTGCAGTGGAGACAGCATCCGCCTCGTCATCGCTTGAGCTCAGGTTTAAGTCTAGCTGGGTATCACTGCTCCCGCCGCCAGCAGCATCAGAGCCGTTATCGGTATTCGAAGTGGGGGCTTTCTTTTTCTCTGCCACGCTCAAGGCGGACGCTGCCTGGCCAATGGGCGAGATGCTTTTGCGATAGTCGCGCAGTTGCTGTGTGTAGCTATTCTGTTGTGTGCTGGTCGGTGGCTTCTCCTCCTGTCCACTGAGCCGCTCATTTGGGCTGGTGGTATACGCGGGCACGGAAGCCACGCAAAGGATGCGCGCATTGCAGACACCGTTGCAGCTGGTGACGTTTGGCTCCGGATGCAAGGACATTATGCACACTTGGCCCACGTATCCGTCACTATTGCAGACCCAAACATCTCGCTTGTCGCTCAGCGTGGCAGCCGCGCAGGTAAATTGAAGACCCGCGCGTGTCTTGCGTATAGGAATTGATGTAAGAAACTCTGGAATGGGATGTCGCTCTTGTGTAGCGGCTGCATAAAAGAAAGAACATTTCATTAATACATATTACACATATTCATAAAATATACGAGTTCGAGTATCACCTCTGCACATACCCAATTTTAATTTCGCCTCATTGAATACCTCCTCCCAATTGGCACGTCTCTCTGTTTTGCTGAATACCACCGTCAGCTTCTGGCTTCCATTACTGAAATGGAAGAGAGCATCGAGAGTCAGTGATTTTATTTGAAGTACATGCAAGGCTATGCTTACGGCGAGCTAACGGTCAGCTCCAACATATTCAGCTGCGTGTCGTTAGCCTGGCGCTCGGCCAGTTGTCTCTGAATGTCGCGATGCAGCTCTCGGATGACGTCTTCGAGATACTGATGAGGATACTTGATTGATGCTGTGATCTCACTTATCTGTTGCAATTTGTTGCAGTCCTCGGTCAGGCTTTCGATTTCGCTTACGATGCGCTTTATATTTTCATCTTTAGCTAGGAAATATTTGGGTAAAGCTATGGCATCATGATATCAATTCAATTTACTCACACTTGACAATCTCGAGGCAATCCAAAGAAATTTTGGTGAGGAACTTGTATTTGTTGGTGTCCAAGGTGCTGGCCACTGACCCGGGGCAAATGGAGCTGTTTGGTTTCCTAATAGTCCCACTGCGTTTCTTAATGCTAGTGAGCACCAAAAGGTCATTGAAGAGGAAAAAGCCGCGGTCCTTGCGCGCACCCTGCCCCGATGGCATTGACACTAAGTCGAAAAGCAAGAACTGCCGATCTGGTGCTATCAAATCGGTTATGCCTTCTATGACGCCTTCCAGTTCCCGCAATGTCGCTTCTCGCTGTCCATTCTCCATGATCTCGCGCTCCTTGCAGTTGATGTGGACCAAAATGTCGTGCACGAGCTTCAGCACCTCTTGTAAATGTTTCTGGTCCGGATGGTCGTGATCTGTGTGCTTTATGAGGCGTTGAAAGAGCAGTTCGTAGCTACAGAAAACAGAGAATAGTTAGAACAACAATCTTAATACATTATTATAAATATTAGGTATACATACTTTGGAAACTTTTGCACCGGTTTTATAAGTAAATTGTCCAATGTCAGCTTTCCCTTGTGCTCGCGGGCCGTTGTCTCCAAGAATTTGGAAAACGAGGGTCGCTGGTGCTTCATTGAACGAATGGCATTCTTGGCTCGATTACAGTTGTTGACGAATGACGTGTAAACCTCGAGCACTTCCAGCTTCGAAAACTGCAAGGTTTTCGTGATTGAATATAAATCATTTT